TGAAAAACATTAAAAAGTGAATTTTGCTTTGAGAAAGAATCCTCTGCTTCTTTTCTGAAATGAATTGCCATTTTCAGGAGTTTGCTACTTTCCAGCCAAGCCCTTTTTGGTGGAACTCCCATCTTTCAGAATGTTTATCTTTTCTCCTTCTCAGATGACTGAAAATTTTCTTACTTTCTATGATTCTTACAAATTTGCAATGACAAGTCTCAGTAGGATAATTCAGAGAACTGAAATTCTTAGCCAATCAAGGATGAGTAATTAGGCAGATGACTCGGACATCATAATTTCTATATTCTTTGTGAGACATTGATTCACTGTTTGACCTTGAGCAGCTATTTAATTGCCTCCATATTCCTCTAGTTAGACAGCAATCAATCATATTAATCATTTTTTGGAGTCATTTTAAGATTAGTGAAACTTTTTTCTCCTGAAGTTAAATGCAAGGTGTTGTTTAATTCCTTTTCTTTTTTATAAACAAAGTTCTAGCCCAGTGAACTGATTTTATGGTGATCAATACCGTCATTACATGTTTGATTATTGCTGAGCATTGTTGTTATTGCTCAATACTAAAAGCAACAAAAGATACTAAATGATATGTTGAAAATGGGAGAGATTAAGATGGAACAATAATGGATATCAGAAAGCCATTGTGAGTTAAGAAAAATTTTTATTAAGGGAAACAAAGTGTAATAGATTTTCCTACTAAGAAACCACTGTAAATTCGAGGGCACAAATTCTGATTTCATCCTTTTCATACAGGAGCATTTGCCTTGTCTATGTGATATTACTTGACTATAAATACTTGTTTTGACTGCAAGGCAGGAAAGGGATGGTCGGATATTGGTGCAGAGAGACACTGTAGGCATATGACAAGTTAAACAAAGCAGATTTAATGAAGGAATTACAAACTGCGTAGGGAACCTTGGAACTGCACAAAGGAGTCACTGATGGGAGGCTGCTGGACAGACCAGTCAGACCCCCAGGTGGGACTCATTTTGTATATCCTAAGGTCCCCTTTTATCTACTAGAACTATTTCCTTATCTCAGCTGTGCTAACCTTGAATAGCTGCTGGCTGGGAAGCATCTAGACATTGTTGACAAAATGGATTATGCATGTCCAGCCTCAAAGGGTTTCAGGCAGTGTGTAGAGGGCACACTCTAGGGCTGCTATCATGTACTCTGCCATGCATCTGACTCCTCTCCAGATCTTCTACAGGTGTTTTTGCTACACACAGCTAAAGAGGGCAGTTCTTCTCCTGGAAGAAGAAACAATTTTTAACACACAACAATATTTATGAAATATATTTAAGATGGCTTTAACAAGCCCACTCTGCACAAACCAGTGTTTTAGAAGGTTCTGCTTATATTTTGGTACACATTTCAATAAGGGCACAGGCTTTCCAGTCTACTTTTTTGCTCATACTGTTTATGTGAATAGCAATTCCACAGCTGGAAAGCTCAGTTCTGTGCATGAGTTCTATCCTTTGTTATCCTCCTACAG